ATTAAGGGCTATGCTATGATTAACATTTAACAACATATATGCTGACTACACAAGCATATAATCTTCTTGAAATTCTAAAAATGGTTCGATAAAGAATATCTATGTGCTTCAAATTTGATGGGTTCAACTTACACACTTTGCGTGTATAGTTCAAAAGGCTACATATAACCCAAAGAGGAGAAAGGGTAGAACTTGGCAATTTTAGCGCAGTTGGAACATTATGTTGCGAGTTGATATAAAGATTTTTCTTGAAAACTTTGAAGTTGTAAAAGAAAATGGAGATTAAAAATAGATGATTATAACAGAAATTGAATATATTTTTAGATGTATAAAATAAAATATAAAGATTTAAGTGAATATAGCGTTAAAATAATAAAATTATAATCAATAATAATTGATAGTTGAAAATATATTAATAAGTTAATAACGGATTTTGGTGAAAAATATATAGTTAAGTTTGGTTTTTATTTTTTAATTGCGTTTGTGGGATCATAGGGGAAAAAGTGTGATTGAACAAATAAAAAATTTTAAAAAAATTATTTTCATTATTCACAATTTAAATGAGAATAATATAGANAAAAAGAGATTACTATTTAATAGCCACCTTAATTTTGGAGACATGCTCCATCTAACATGATTTCGAGCCTTCTTAATTGTTCCATTAATATTTTTCCTCCAAAAAGCTGGCATTGCAATGTCATGTCGCCAAATAATCAATTTCACACCAAAAAAAGAAATGATTCTACAAATAGGCAAAAAAAGGCCCATATGATGTGAAATCATTATAAAAGTTATTTATGAGTTATGGTGCAAGTTTTATGAGTGTGGCAAGCATTTCTGATGCCCCTCAGCTCATACAAAATAAATAGAAATAAATAAAACGCTCCAAATGGCATGACCTATTTACAGTCAATACCTGATTTGAGCTGTTCATTTACTACTATGGAGAGTTTTATTTTACTGTACAGCACGCTATCATTTTTTTTAATCATTACTGTGTTTAGAGCATGGGATCATACAAATATTTAAATTCGCGCATTTAATTTGAGGCTAAAATCAACAAATGTTAAAGTTAGGTCACTGCATTGATATCAACAAATATGTTCACGCCCTAGTATTGTCTTGACAAATACTATATTAATGTTAAATTTGTAAGAATTTTTGCGACAATCACTGCTAACTACCGTTATTTTTTATTTTTTTTTTCAGCAATAAGAGATTAAAAGTGTTACTAAAATTCAAAAGTCTGTTAGTTAGACATTTTTTATTTCAAAAAATATGAGATTAACCTATCTAATGGCTAGGTTGATTTTGTGAAATATATAGAATGAAGAGAGTTTGGATATTTCATGTTTACCTTCAAAAAATGTGCAGCCAAAGATATGCATCAAAGTCAATAATCTGAAAGAAAATATTGTAAAATTCGAATCGTGAGAGTCAAGTGTCAGTAGCAACTATTTGAGCATAATTTCATTGCATTGGGTTGTTCATTGTGTGCACGAAATAAAATTTTATAGATCCAACAAAGTACTTTTCATTGTACTCATCAAACCAAATCATAAATGCACATATAAATGTTTCATCAAATTAATATGTTTTCATTGATTCCTGCCTAAACTAAATACTGGATACCATTGAATACACATCTGAACAAATTAAATGCTAACGAACTTTTTATATTTTTTCAATTGTTTTGAACAATCTTACATTTCAATATTTGATTGGCCATTTTACCTAATAATTTGTACCACTGTAGTAATAAACCTTTCATAATGATCATGAAATTTGATCTGATTTTGCAAGTTGCAACTGCTAAATAACAATGAAATCATTGCCAATCAACTATTAACATTTGGGCAAATATATTGATGTTTTCACCCCAATCTAAGAGGTTAAAAGATATATTGACTTCAATTTATAAATTATGATTGTTGATGACATTTACCTACCCAATCAAAAATCCTATTTGTGTTCCAATTTCATGGTAAATGACATATATTCATACATGTCATAATTATACACAAATTAATCATGTTACGAAATAAATTAAAAATTAAAACATAATTTTGTAACAGAAAAACTTTTCCCCATTTGGCCTGCAAAGCTCAATTAAAGATCACGATTGAGATGGTATAAATNNAAAAAAAAAAAAAAAAAGATTAAATATTAGGAAGTGTCAGGTTATCCGTTTCTTGTACCAAGAATATAAATATCAACTGTAGTCACATGACAAGATAGATGACTTTCACAATGACCAGCTCATGAATTGGGAAATTGTTAAAGTGGTATATCTTAAGTATCAACCAAATAATGCCAATAGTTATTAAGAAAAATCTAATATGTGATACCATTAATATTAACAATACAAAATAATGATGTTTGTGGTCACATTACAAAATGGATTATGGTCCACCATATGTTGTTGCCAAAGGGAACAACTTCATAATATTTTGAATCTGTTTAAAAAAAAATACACGACATCTAAGAAATAGGTTCAGTGTAGAAAAAAATTATTCTTCCATGGAAGTAAAGTTGATGGAATCCAATTGATGTTGAATTTATTTTAGACATAAATAGAGATCCAGCTTCTTCGCGTTTGAATGATTTTGACTATTTTTACTTGATTTTATCCTTGTGATCTAAAATTTGGATCCATTTACAAGTAATATAAACAAAATTAAATACATCATTAGCACTTACAAAGGTTTATTTCTTTCATTCTATACTATGTTGAGAATGAATAATAATAATAATAATAATAATAATAATAATAATAATAATAATAATAATAATAATAAGTGGGTTGAGAAAGAGAAGATTAGAAAACTCTTCAGTTTGCATGTCATTTATCAAATAAAATTGTGAAATACAAAATCAACATACGTAACACAAACAATGTCCAGGCAAAATGCATAGGATTAAAAAAAGAATCTTTATATGCCGAAAAAAAAATATCTGTAAATATATCATTCTTAAATCTTGTGTTATTAAAACCATATATATAAATTGAGATTGAGGGAGATTCATATTGGACCACACATTTCATGAGGTACAACAATTACGGACGTGGATTATCC